GTAGTAGGAACCGTGTCATCATAGTCTCCACTGCCCTTTCCCCTTTAATACTAGTACTATCCAGCTAGGCATAGATCGGTTAGGGTAATGCGTGTGAAATAGTCATGGGTCTCTTGAATAGGGCCACTGAGTTGTAAACCTATTTTTGAGAAGGGAGCACGAGATCACATAGGTTGATCCAGTAGCTGGCCAACACATAGGGAGTCGCTTCCCTCAAATCTAAGAGTTATCAAGGGTTTGTCAACTAACGTTCCATGTGTTCAGATTAGTAGACACCATATTGTCTCATCAAATCTTTCTAAGATAGCACTTCAACCCAAGACACCAATCTCTCACTACATTGCAAAAAAGGTACCCTAATTCAAAAAACACAGATATTGTAGAACCTGTACAAATTCCTAGAGGATAAGATTCAAACCAGAGAACAACTCAATACTAAGAGACCTCCCCAGTTATTCATATAGCAGTAGATATGACTCTAACTACTTGGAGCTTAGAGAAAAGCCGGTGGTGACCTACTAGGTTAAGGATGCGATGAGAGCATACCAATATTATAGTATTTTATACCCCACCCTTTCCCCTTTTATTCAGGTGATCTCAGGTACTCGTTGAATTGGAGATGTGTTCAGGAGCTACATTATTATAGTGGGGTGTTCACTCTGGGCGTTAGTTTAATTTGTATTTTGTGGGCTGACATTTGTATTCATTTCGTATCCCACTTCCATTCCTCATTTGTAAATAAATTGAAGACACCTATTTCATGTTTTTTTGTTTTGGATTTTGACTATGGTGTTGTATAATTTTAATTAACAGAAATTTTTACCGGATTTTGCCTTCATTTGTTTACCGTAGTTATCTTGTCTTTCAAATCATAGTCTAAAATTCGAGATATCAAACAACGAGTTATGACATCTCTTTTTCTCTTTTCAATCTTCCACGGTACCGACCACACGGTTTTGGGATGGGATTGAAGGAGTTGGATTTGTAGTTTTTATAGGATTTGTTTTGTTAGATCTAGTTTTTATAAATCATTCTTAACGTAGCCAACCCATCTCATTTTCACCTCTACCTTTGGTTGGTTAAATTAAATTTAAATAAAAACGTGAGGACAATATAATTCACAATGTTTGTGGACAAGGGCCTTGGGTAGATCCACCCCGTGATTCTCGAAGACAAAGTCTACACAACCTCAACACGATGTAAATGTTTTTGTCTAAAATAATGATTATATATATATATATATATATATATATATATATATATATATATTGTTGTTCTTGTTCTTGTTTTTGCCACCAGCTACCACCTTCAACTCATAAACTCATTAACCTTAATTTATTATTTTAATTATTATACTTTTCAATGTATTATTATTGTTCATATAGATTGATTAGATGTTCTAAAATCTAGTCTTCCCAAATTAATCAGATTAGTTTAATAGTTTTAAAATATTTATTTCTCTCTTTAAATCTAAATAAAAAACAATATTTTAGCCTAAATCTCTTAAAAAAACAATATCTAATTGATTCTTAGGGTCTTAACTGTGAATTTCTTCGATAAAGCCTTGGAAAATATGATCTCGAGCTAGCTAATTGAAGATTTGTTTGGATTAACTTAGATTTTAAGAGCTCTTTTTAAACGGTTAGAAAGTTAATCGAACAGGCTTAGATACAATTTTTTTTTAAGGAAAAGATATCTAAGTTCTGGAGAGAAAATAGAGTTACCTTCTTGCAGCAGCAGGAAGCAAGGAGACGCCCATGGCTGCTCTTGTTCTTCTTCTTCTCTCTTTCTCTACAATGTTGTTGTCTTTGAAAAAGTAGTATAGACAAAATGGAATAAACGCTTTAAATATGAGTATGTAAGAAGGAACCTTCAAAATATGAGTAAAGTAAAGCTGAGTCAAGAGTCTTTGGTTCCATCCACTCAAAATTTTACACGTTCGCTTCGTGTTCAATCTCTCATCAATAAAAGTAGCTTTTGAGATGGTAACTTTTTTAAAAAATGTAACAATTCGTGTCTACGACTTAAAATTTGGATTTTGCATTTCATAGTCTAGATATGACGTTTTGGTGTGACATGTTCGTGTTATTTACTTATTGATTCTAAGAGTGAATATTATCTCCATATACCAATTCGAGTCCTGTCAACATATTGACTAATTTCAATAAAAAAATTTAGCTATTTAAAGAAGGTGGTATCATGTTGGAATTCATAGGTAAATTAATGAATGCTAGAATATTGTTTCACTATAAAAATGTATAAAAACTATTGAAGTTAATAAACTAAACTAAATTAATTTTAAACATCCAAAATATTATCAAAAAAGGGAAAAAAACAAAAAAGAAAAGGGATTTTATTTATAAAAAGAAGACAAGAACAAAGTAATCATTTTGACATTTGTGGGACAATGAAGGAAATGAAAGGTAGTGAGTGACTGAGTGAGTGAGTGGTTCATGTTTTGTAACAGTTACTAACAGCAATGTCGCCCACCAAATGATTGACTTCTGGCAGTGACCACTCAGTTCACATACAAATCCACTGGTGATTAAAGTAGGGGTGTACGTCCAATCCGACAACTCAACAACCCGGACCAACCCAACCCGAATTGGAAGGGTTTGGTTGGGTTGGATTAGTATTTTGGGTTAGGTTTGGTTGTTTTTTCTCAACCTGAAATGTCTCGGTTCGGTTTCCGGTTCATAAGATAAAAATCCCAAAAGTTTGAGCTTGAAAAAAAAATTAGGTATTTAATCCCGCTATGGCTCGAATATTACAAATTCTTTCTTCCTTAACAAATTTTGGCCATAAAAGTTTCTTACTCTTGATTTTCACGGTTGAACATTCTCTTGTCCCTTTTCCTTACTTAAGTTACTACGTTGTTCGGTGATAACTGTATTGAACCGCAACTACGGATGTCTACTCACGAACATCCTCTTTTGGATGGTGAAGTCTACCAAAACTTACAATTCTCTTGGGAACACTTCCTTGAATTTCATGTCCAACAACGTGTTTTTAATTCTTGGAATGCTTCTAGAGCTACCCCACCTTTTTTTAGTGACATTTCATCCTGTCGAAGGTTTAAAGGTCATTATGTGGGCATTGTCGTCCATTAGGGCGTGATTACAATCTCATAGCTTTATAGGCTCTAACCCAAGTGAGCATATCAATTAATATAGAATTACGCCGTACTTCTACGTATTAAGGAAACCTACGCTATCTCACATTAGAAATTGAGACAAGAACCAAATTAGAAATTAAGCCGCGAAAAATTAAATTACATTATTAGAATTCATATTCTTATAATAATGTTAAACACGAGAATATGCGACAAATAAAAGTTGAAATAACTCAATTGAGACACAAACCACACAAACAAAACTAGGAACATAATCCACAATCAAGTTTAGGAAAGACTATAATCAAGTTTAGGAACGAACTTGAAGTCTGAAACAAGTAGTTCTTGTATTCAACTTTATTATTCGTAGGAACAAAGACCTTGGTTTGCTGAAGTGAAGCCTCCATCAACAATTAAGTTATGTCCACTCACAAATCTCGATGCATCACTTGCTAAATACAAAGCAGCTTCAGCTATATCTTCTGGCCTTAAAATATCTCCACATTTGAAATGCGAATAAACATTAGGAAACTCATCGCCATCTTCAAGCTTAAATAGATCCCTAGTCATCTGCGAGGGCACTACATGGGGCGACACACAATTAACCCTTATCCCATATCGTCCTAAATCAACTGTTGCATTTTTCATCAATCCCAACAAGCCATGCTTTGAGCTCGTGTACGCATATGGCCCAATCCCACCAATGATCGAGCAACCACTTGCCATTATGATTATGCTACCTTGACGAGCTGGAATCATTGCCTTTGCTGCATGCTTGGTGCCCAAAAACGCTCCAAGTAAGTTGACATTGAGTACCTTTTGAAAGTCTGATAATTCGTTTTCAAGAATGTTGAATTTGAGAGTTCCAGAAATGCCTGCATTGTTCAACATGATGTCTAACTTTCCATACTTGGAAATAGCTGTGTTAACTGCATTTTCAATATCTTTCTCTTTCGTTACATCGCAGTGGACGAATGAAGATGACGAAGAACAGAGATGGCGGGAAAGAGAGTGACCGACATCGTCTAGGATGTCTGCAAGCACCACTTTGGCTCCATGCTTAAAGAAGAGTTTTGCTGTGGATTCCCCAATTCCTCTGGCGGCGCCTGTGATTACTGCCACTTTGCCTTCTAGCCTAGTAGTGCACCAAATAGTGAAGTGGTCGTAGAAATTTAAGTGACCAATTAAAATTAAGCATATTAAGAACTTTTTTTAAACAAATATTAAAATAAAATTCTAACTTTTATTAGAATTTTATGCAATGTCCCATGCTTAGAATTGGGATCTAAATTTGATACCTAACGACCTTGAAATTCTCTTGCATACAAACATTATCATGTTACCAAGAACGATAACTACCATCTCCACATATCATCGTGGGTTCTTTTAACATGATTTGTTATCACTCACATTAAAAAATTTCATGGAGGTCACACAATATAGAATCGTTATAAAAAAAAACTATGCTTGACTTTGAAGTTTCTATGGTTGAGTTACTTAAAAAGAAAGTGCACTTTGTTAATATAAGTGGTAACTTTAATTCTTTTAAATTTTTTTCAACCATTATAACCTCATGATCACTCTCATTCAAATGTGGTCATGGTTCATTCATGTACCCATCTTTCACTCGAGCATCGCATGCCCACATATATTATTATAGTCAAATGGAAAAAGAATTTTCGATCAATTGCCTTGGCTCTGCCTTGTTTTACCCTTTTGAACCGTTTCAGAACCATTTCTAGTACCATTAGTGCCGGAAAAGGCCATCATAGCCACCATTTTAGACAATTTAAATTTTTTAGCATTATTTAGAATTAATCTTAGAATAGTTAAGTGATAATGGCTCTATGGTTACCCTCTAAGCCTAATTTTTTGAATGGATGAAACATGATAGGTGAAATTGGATGACATGGAGTTGAAGCTAGGAACACATCAAGCTAAGGAGCACAGGGTTGAGTTTGACAGTTGGAACACCTACGAGATAGGTTGGATGAAGTTGTTTGTTGATGCATGAATAACACATCACTTATGATTCTATTTACATGTTATTATTTAAGTAATGATATGGGAATGAATTATGTGATGCATGTAATTCCTTTTATGTTTGATAATGATTGTTATGTTGATGGGACTATGTTTATGCTTAGAGAGATAACATGATATATTATGTATGATAAGCATGAATGAAATATCAAGCATATGATGTACGTCTCCTAAGAAATTTATGTCTTGATAAGCATGAAAGTATTTGTGTATCATCTTATTGACCATGATTTTAATGTGGGACCTCATGGATATTGTATGTCATAAGATCATGAATTACTTCTCTAACATGTTTTGTATGGATGCGTACACCATGACATGTATTAGTGTTCCTTTCCTTTTTGTTAGTTATCGGCCGCACGAGTGTGCACGAGCTCATAGTCAAGCCTATGGTGTATGTTAACAAACCCACCTAATGGGTTTATGTGCTCGTGCATGAATTGTGTATATAGAATCACTCTACATCTAATCCTATCAAGAATAGAAAGTAGAGCCTCGTGAATAATCATAAAAAGTTAGGTCCCACCACTCTGATACATTTTGTATATAAATTCATTTTCTCAACTCCAACCGTGAAGTCACTTACTAATTTTTTTTTTTTTAACACTCATCATATGTTTTTTTAAGGTAAAGGAAAAGAATTGATGCACAGTTGACCGTGTTTGCTGACGAGGCCATGCAAATGTTTCAATGTTCGAATACTTTAGTAATATTTTTATTTTTGAATTTATGTTTAGAGATATTTGAGAATGTCTTAAGTAAAGAATGGTAGAGCCTAGTATACAAATGGTCGTGCCGACATTATTCCAAGGAAAATAACTAAATATTAGGGCCTCAGGTATAACCAGTCAAGGGTTGGTGTGTTCCTTTAGGTGTTGAGGCCTCAAGTATAAATGGTTGGGGTGATACGCCAATATTGAATAAAGAGAAGCATTGATACCCCAAGTATAAATGGTTATGGGTCGATGTAATGAACCTTGAAGCAAGCATTGAGGTCTTTGGTATAAGTGTTCAAGGGCCAATATGTTGCTCACTAATTGATTTCTTGGTATAAATGGTCAAGGGTCAAGTGTTGATATTTGTATAGAAACATTAGTCAAGGGTCAATGTATTTTAAAAGAGTAAGTCTTGAATATGGAAACACGATTGATAAGAACTTGAAAAGAGGTTGAAAAGATATGTTAGGACTCGATTAATGTTTGAAAAATAATACTTGTTAGAGATTGAGTGAGTAGATTGTTAAAATATCATTATTAGCCCAACAGAGTCAAACTCAATAATTGTACCAGCAAGTAAAATAATTTAGATATTTTAAGAATAAATAATTAGATATTTTAGGATTAAATTATCTAGCCTCAGCTATAAATACTCATCCACCGTCCTAAGGTTTTCATCCCAAGAATCACACTACTAAGGTTTTCATCCCAAGAAATCCAAAAAATCAAGTAAAGTGCAGTAGTAAGGTTGGTGTAGGTAATCCTTTCTCGATTGGTCTTAATAAAGAGTTTAAGTGTTTCTCACAAAGAGTTGTGTTCAACAATCTCCTATTAGAGCAAGGTTGGTGTAGGTTGTCTGATCTCTTGAAATTCTTAGTATGCTCTATGTGGCGCTCTATTTTATCTTCCACATCAGAAAATATTTCTTAAGATTAGTAGTGTGTGAGTTTTGTGTCGTGATTAGTCATTGCCTCTGCAACATTTGTATCGAAAAGGTTTGTTTGGTATTACTAACGTATATTGCCAACACGACGGGTGATTTCCAAATTGTTGGAGGAATTAAGAAAATCAACAGTAATAACTACAACAAGTGGGCAACATGCATGATGTCCTACTTACAAGGATAGAACGTTTGGGAGGACGTTGGCGGGAGTGAAACTACGTCACCAGAGGAGAACCCTAATGGTGCCTTTGTGGAAATGGAAAATCAAAGTAGGCAAAGCGATGTTTTCCTTGAAGACCACAATAGAAGAAGAGAGGTTAGAACATATTTGGGATGATAAGACACTGAAAGAGGCATGAAACACATTCATGAAGTTGTTCTCAAAGAAGAACGATACGATTCTACAACTTCTACAGAACAAAATGTTATCAATCTCACAATGTCATTGGATAGGATTGAATGAAAATGATCATTATCCATGAATTACGACTAGAATATAGAAGTTTCTTTATTGTTGTACAAGGACGACAACAAGAGTTCTCAAGGGAAGAGATTTGAAGGTATTTGCTACCATTGTGGAAAGAATAGCCACATGTCCAAAGATTGTTAGTCCAAGAAAACGTCTGTTGAAAGCAATGTGGCAGCATCCAAAAAGGAGATAGAAAGTGAATGGGATACAGTGGTACTATGCACCATAGAAAAAGATGTGCTAGCACTCATGATGATGATGAAAGATTATATTGATTACGAGAATGATTAGATCATTGATTGAGGATGTTCAAACCACATAACTGACTATTAGAGTGATGCAATGGAAGAAATTCAAAAATGGAAGAAGGAAAAAGTTCCCAAGATAAACGTAAAAATTTGAGAGAGAAAAAAATTAACTCAAGGAATTTTAAAAAATTTGGAAATGGGAAAGTAGTCCTTTTGAATTTAATGCGTGAATTTATCTATAGGATCGACTTAGAATTGTATGAATATGTAGGTATGAACTTATATCTAGAATTATGCATGTTGTAGCCTATAAATCTCGAGCTAGTTCTGCTGATTGCATCTACAACCTCGGGACCTACCATTTAATTCTTTTATACACAAACTTTTCAAGATTGGTCAGAAAGTTTATGTAGGCTACTTATGCAACTCCAACGACTACTCCTTGACCCTAAGCCTAGTTGGTCAAGAGGTGTTATTTCTAGAATCTCGAGCCTAGAAAACGATAAATATGAATATATGTTAGGAAATAAGCAGTCTGACTATAGATTTAGGACCTACAAATTAGAGAACATGATTGATGCCATATCCTTTAGGGAGTCCCTAAGGGACTAAGACATCCAAGGGTGCCCCAAAACTCATAATAGTAGTTTAGATCTGAAGAATCTTCCTATTGCCCTAATAGTGGTGTAAAGGCTAAATTAACACGAAACATAGGTTGCACCAAGGGTGCATGGATGCACGTGAAAGGCGCACGTGAGTCCTTTTTAGCAAGTTCGGCTTCCATTTCTTCATTTTTCGTCATGATTTTGGTATTGACTTTGATTTTACTTGAACAAGGACCTACTAGTAAAATTTTCAAGAAATTTGAAGCTTCCAACAACCAGATAAGCAAGCTCAAAAAAAGCATTTATAGGGATTGCTAAAACGTGCTAGTATGCGAGCATTCCTTACCATAGGTGATTAGAATATGGATGTTTAGGACTTCAGACGAGAAATTTTGGAAGATAATGCATTGGACGTAGGTTATGAATAATCATCGTTGGTCTCTAAATGAAATTTTGAGAAGCATGTTGTTTTTATACTTTCTACATAGCTAGAAAGCAGTTATGCACGACTAGGTTTTGAGTTGGGCAATTTGGACAAGTAAGCTAAGTAAAATATATGAAATTACCAAAATGCACTAAGATGAGTTTTGTGATGAATGTTGGTTAATATGCTTTTTGCTGCGTAGAAAGAAGGATGGACTAATGTGAACTGTGCTTGTAGAGAGAAGGATGGACTAATGTGAACTGTGCTTGGATGATTGATGGATGTTATGTTCCGGTTGGATTTGCATGAGCGTTTTAGTTTATGTTTTCCATGTTTTAGGTGATTTATAGGACTATCTCTTTAATTAGCTTACATGAATATTTAGATTATGTATACCATGCTCTAGGTGATCGATAGGATAATCTTCCTAGCAAGAGAACCAAGTTAAGACTAAGGCACAAGAGATAGAGCGATTTTGTGTCGACCTAGGTCAATACATTTCTATTAGACCAAGTACCCTAAAATCGTGAGCAGCGATCAAAGGTCTAGACTTGTGTACATACAAAGAATGGATTAGCTTGAGGAGAAAATCCTACGCTTGCTATAAACAAGAGACGAGATTTAAACTGCCTAAATGCCCCTAAGAACCTTTGTAAACCTCCACGATATTCAAGAATGACTAAGGTA